CCCCCCCCCTTCTTCCTTTAAATCTTATCCAAAACTTAATCCAATTTTCAAGTTTCTCTATTTCATTATTTAGTTACTGCTAGATATATAACACTCTTTCGATCTCTAGACACCATTACTATATAGTCTAACTAATATAAAGGGGATTAAAAGTCGTCTTTGTTTAACTCTTTATTGGAAAGATATCTAAACGAAATTGTTAATTGTTGAGTCATGACTGTTCAGAGTTAAAGCACTTGCAAGTAAAACAACTTATAGCATTGTTTTAATTAAAAGCTATGATAAAAACGACTAATATTCTTCATACTGGTTATGAGGGAGGAAAGATATTCTAATATTTTTTATGCCTGAGCCAAAGCGAATTATATTCTCGTCATAAACTAGTTTTTACTCTAGGAAGAGGAGTGGGCTACCTAAGAAAGCTGGCATGTTGCAGTTTGATGCTATTCTGAAGAACGCCCTTGAGATGCGTTCTGGAATATCTATCCAGGGAGGATCCGTCAAACAAGATTTTGAACTGGAAAAGCGCAGTGATAACATTCTTATTGAGAAGGCCAGTGATGTATTGAATGGAACCGCCAAGACCGTTGATATTGCGATGGAGATAACAAACTATCAGAGAACCTTCGGAGCCACCTTGTCTAACAAGATCTCCCTGAGGTATGGAGAAGAAGGTCTACCTGATGGCAGTATTAATATTCGCTTGACCGGCTCAGCTGGTCAGAGCTTCTGCGCCTTCCTGGCGAGAGGAGTGTCAGTTACCCTTGAGGGTGATGCTAATGATTATGTTGGAAAATGTTTATCTGGAGGAACCATTATTGTTTTCCCACACAAGAACGGGGCTCCTGAGTTCAAATCTGAGAAGAATGTTATTGTTGGTAATGTGTGCCTCTACGGTGCTACTTCCGGCAGGGCATACTTCCGTGGCATTGGAGCAGAGAGGTTCTGCGTGAGAAACTCTGGAGCAATTGCTGTTATTGAAGGGGTTGGAGACCATGGTTGTGAGTATATGACTGGGGGAAGAACTGTCATTCTTGGTCCTACTGGGCGCAACTTTGCTGCTGGTATGTCCGGTGGAATTGCTTATGTTCTTGATGACTTGGAGAGCTTTAGGAAAAAGTGCAACACCAGCATGGTTGATCTTATTGGAGTAAGCAACCCTATTGATTTAGACTTCTTAAAATCTACTCTGGAAGATTTTGTATCTTGCACCGGATCTGAGGTTGGATCATCTTTGCTTGCTAGCTGGCCTGAGTCCGCCAAGAGGTTTATCAAAGTGTTCCCCCACGAGTACCAGAGAGCCCTGCAGGAGTTGGAGAATGAGAGGGCCGAAGAGGAAGCGGAGAAGAAGTTTTCTCCTGGAATTATGCTGAACGGAGACCACCTGAAATCTCCCTCATTGGATATTAGGAATGCATATGAGATTGACAACACTCCAGCAATCAACGGAATATCTCATCTTATTCTTCCTGCAGAGAAGATGGAACCTTTGAGTGAGGATGAGGATGAAGATGAGGATGACAAGAAAATTTCTAACTTTGTTCTCCCAACCCTGACTGTGCCAAAGAAGTTGCCCGTCAAGGTTCTTGAGATTGAGAAGAAACCTATTCGAGATATAGAGGACTCTATCATTGATTCTACAAAAAAGAAAAAGAGGGAAAATCTGCTTGACAAAACTCGTGGATTTGTCAAATATAAGAGAGAAACAAAGAATTATAGAGATGCAGCTGAGAGGCAGAATGACTGGAATGAAATCTATGATTTCAAACATGTCCGTCGTGGGCTGAAGATGCAAGCTGCCCGATGCATGGACTGTGGTGTTCCTTTCTGTCACTCCGTCTCACATGGTTGTCCACTTGGCAACATTATTCCCAAGTTCAATGATCTTGTGTTCCACAGTGACTGGAAGGAGGCTCTAAACCAGCTGACACAAACTAACAACTTCCCTGAGTTTACTGGTCGTGTATGCCCTGCTCCCTGTGAAGGTGCTTGTGTCCTGGGCATCAATGAACCCCCCGTCACTATCAAGAATATTGAATGCTCCATTATTGATAATGCATTTGAGCAAGGCTGGATCAAGGCCTGTGCCCCCAAGCACAGAACAGGAAAGAAGGTTGTTATCATTGGTTCCGGACCTGCCGGGCTAGCAGCCGCCGACCAGCTTAATAAGGCTGGTCACTTTGTCACTGTTCTGGAGAGGAAAAATAGGATAGGAGGTCTGCTCATGTATGGAATTCCAACGATGAAACTTTCCAAGGAGGTTGTACAGCGCAGGGTTGATTTAATGGCCTCTGAAGGAATTGTCTTCAAGACCAATGTTGATGTTGGGAAAGATATCCCAGCTGCTGATCTAAAGAATCAGTATGATGCGGTCCTGCTCTGCACTGGTGCAACCTGGCCTAGGGATTTACCAATTGAAGGTCGTAGCAGTGACGGAATTCACTTTGCCATGGAGTTCCTCCAGACCTGGCAGCAGAAGCAGCATGGTGATGATATTGATCATCTACCTCTATCTGCCAAAGATAAGGATGTAGTTGTTATTGGAGGTGGAGACACTGGTTGTGACTGTATTGGTACTTCTCTGAGACAAGGAGCTAAATCCATCACAACCTTTGAGATCCTTCCTCAGCCTCCAAACTCTCGTGGAGCTGACAACCCATGGCCTCAGTATCCTCGACTCTTTAAGGTTGATTATGGACATGAAGAGGTTGCGTTGAAGTGGGGAGGAGATCCTCGAAGATATAACACCGTGAGTAAGAAGTTCCTGTCCGATGAGATGGGGCGTGTGAGTGGGATTGAAACCATGCTGGTAGAGTGGACCAAGGATGAGGCCGGGAGATGGAAGATGGCCGAGGTTCCGGGATCCGAGAAGACCTACTATTGTCAGATGGTGATGCTTGCCATGGGATTCCTGGGCCCGGAGAAGGAGATCCTGGAGCAGATGAGCCTGGACAAGGATCCACGAGGAAATATAAAAACTCCTGTTGGCAAGTACTCAACCAACGTGGAAGGAGTTTTTGCAGCTGGAGACTGTAGACGAGGACAGAGTCTCGTTGTCTGGGGTATTACCGAGGGACGACAGGCGGCTAGGGAGGTAGATATCTATCTAACAGGGAAATCCTCCCTCCCTGGTCCAGCAGGGATCATCATCCCACCAACCAACCTTCTCCAGGGTTAAACTAGAGTTAAGTTAATCTCAAGGTTCGTGTTTAACTGTTCAGAAAATCTCTCGAAATTTCGGCTTTCATATGGATTTTGAATCCTCTCTCTAATCCTTCAGTCTTCCTAGGGTGGGGGGTTCTAGGAGGCTTCTCGTGTATTTATTCCTCCTGGAACCCCCTGTATTTGATTGAATATTGTTGTAACACTAGTGATTAGAGTTAGCATTTTAGAGCCTAGAATTGTTAGAATCAGTAATTATAAAACGAGCAATGCAAAAGTTTGCTCTGTTAAAGGTTAACTGCTCGTATTGAAATGTTAAATTAATGTTAAATTCATTTGTTTTGGAAATATGTATTTTTGCTTGAAAAATCTACGCTATATTTAAATCGTTCAGTTGAGTTTATTGAAAGCTGACGATAGAATTTAAATTTGTAATCCAGTGTTTTCAAATATTTAACCGCGTAAAATACCAAAATTAGAGAGTATTGATTGTATGATAAAACATCCGAAACATATATATATAAATATATATATCAAGTATCTATGTAATATTTCCTTTAGAATCTTAGTTTAAATAAAGTATTGCAATATCCAACTGTCGACCATTATTCTATTAGGTTAAATAAGGTTAGTATTAGTAAGTATTATTACACCACTATTTTTGGCACGACTCGACGTGTTTAGGACTGCTAGATAGCTCTTTTGCCAGTCACATTTCTTTAAAATGGCTTTATTTTAAGGCTTTGGCAAAAGTGGCCTTTTCTTTAGAATTGAAGTAAAACGTTTACTTTTCCTTGTTTAATAATGAAATCACTTAAAATCATTAACCATGTCATGTGTTTTGTCTCAGGGTATTCTTCCGCTTCCATCATATAGAATTATAAAATCGTATTTGTTAAACAATCAGACAATAGTTATAACCTTTTAAAAACAAACGAGTTAAGATTATCAGGTATAGAAACCCTCCTCGCAAAGATGACTATGCCTGATTAACAAAATTAAACCTTCTCGTTAAAGAGAAAATTTCTGTCCCAACAACTTTTTAACACTGCAAACCAAAATAACAGTGTTATAATTAAAAAGTTATAATATTTTTTTATTTCATGAAATTTTAATAAAAAAAAATAATGAAATTTACCGTTTTTAGCTTTTTAGTTAAGGTTTTTAACCATTAGTTTTTTTCAAATATGGCTAGTGCGTTTCGTTAACGATTTAAAAATTAACGGTTTTGCCGTTTGTTAACGAACTCTTCCGTTAGTTTTCGAAAACCTCCGTTTCATTAATGGAACTTTTCCCAGCCCTAGGTAGATGTGTTACTATTACAGACAAAAAAGATCATGAATAAGTTTATTATATAAAGGGTGTCCCAATAAACATGGGAATTCAGTGACGAATTCGATATAGTTTTTAATCAGGCGCGCAACTAGACATTTGGTTAGGGGGGGCTAGGTGGAAATATTTCGCGCGAAGCGCGAAAATTTTTTTTGGCCCCCCCCTTAACATTTTTAGGAGGGGGGCAAGAAAAATGTGTGTTATACTTAAACTTAATAAAAAACTAACCTTACCAACCTGATATTCAGTAAGTCAACACATCTGATATGAAATAAAACAAGAAATCTATTCTGGTCAGGGGCGGATACAGGGGGTCGGCAGTAGTTAGGCTCGGAGACGAAGGGGTCTGTGTGTGTGTATACGGTGTATTAAGTTCTGTATCGATTGAACTATAAGCTCAATAAACTAACGTTCAATTATCTTTTTTTTATTTTACAATAAGAGCTCTTAAATTTCCTCAGGGTCAGGATTCATGAATCGCTAAATTGCAAAACAGGGTGGACTTCGTCACTTCTTGCCGGGCAAGACTTCTTAAGGGAGGGGCATGCCCCCCCTTAATCATGGCTAGGGGGGGGCCTGGCCCCCCCCCCTAGTTGCGCGCCTGAGTTTTTTCAAATAATTCTTATATATAGTATAATGATACCTACTGAGAAAGCTGTAATCTGTAAGAGTTTCGTCTGCTATGTTCAGATTTTGTTTGTTTATGTTTTGACTGCATACGGCTGTACTTAGTAAAACAAGAAAATTGCAGTATATAAACAGAGTAAACTTGTTCATCCTGCGAAGACATTATAGACACATATTTACAGTCTTTTACCCTTTTCATAAAATAAACTCTAGCAGACATAATAATATCATGGCTTTTGAAATTAGGTATTACAATGCTAATTCATAACAAAGACGATATCGAATTCGTCACTGTATTACCATGTTTTTTGGGACACCCTGTATGATAGATACCATTAAGTCTTACTAAATTCAAAGTAATGCTGAAATCGTCTATAATTAATATATATAAATTCAGAAATTTTGCCGGACGGCTAACGAGTAAAGGTCGGACATACTATTTCATGTATACTATTGTACTGACCTGAATGAATTATCTGTCCTAGAAATACAAAGAGGTATACAAGTACACTCTTCATGCTACAAATTAACCTGAAACAAAATTTATCTTAAAATGGAGAAATTCAAATATTGAAGACGACGTTAAGTATAAATCCAAATATTGAAGACGACGTTAAATATAAATCTTCGAAAGATCTAACTAAAGAAACTAAAGCATTTATTTATAATGTTACCATGTAGATATTCTAATCAGAGAGGTAAGAAAAAGATGAAAAACATTTCAATTATCGAAATCAAAATTTTAAAGGAAACAACTGAAAACAAGTTAATCGAATAATTTTGCAAGAAAAATTGTTTGAACATTCGCAGTTGCACTTTCAGTATATTCCTGAAATATCTGTTTTATTTTACATCATTTTAGAGATCTCTGTAATACAGTGGTAAGCGTATAATACATCAAAGCAGTCTTTCAACAAACTTGCTACGATCGTTAACACCAAAACATGTAAACAAAAGAAAACTGTTAATAAAAAGGGTAAATATCATTGTTCTATGGCATGAATTTGGATATAATGAAGTTGAATATAATAAAATTTATGTTTATTTATTGTTATGTTTTTAATTAGCTTAAGCCTGAATTTAATATTAAGGGATATAAAAATAAAGATCAATATTTACTTTTAATACGGTGGTAGGCGATTATATCGATATAACGAAGACGACTTTCGATTTAAATTTTGATTTATCTCAACAGCAGGGTTAAACTAAAATATGGAATCAAAGAGAAGCTGTCAATTAAAAAGGCTTATCTTTAATTACTAGTAAGCTTATAATTCCAAAAAAGCTTGGTAACAATAAAAACTTAAATAAAAAGCCGTATTCATTATATTGATATAATCGCTTACCACCGTAGTTAATGCTATACAGTGGTGCCCATGAAACTATAAAATAGCAAGACGACATTTACAAAGGCTTATATCTATGTGATGTTGTTATAAAACAAGTAAAAACTACTCACTACAGCATGAGTAGCTTAAAAATCTATTTAAGAAGTGGAATAGGTCTGGGTTTTATCTTGTTGGATAGATGTTGTTTTCAATTGAAACTTACTCATTAATTGTTCACAAAAATATTAACGATTTGAAATTTGCATGATTAAAATTATCAATTTTCAGATTGTAACTCAAATGCCATGCTTATTCGAACACATTGTGCAGAAAAAGAGAGAACCAACAATTTGTGGATAAGGAAGACGACATTAAAGCAATATTTCAGTATATTTGATGTCATTACAAAGCAAATCGGATTAATATTCAATATATAACTTAAAATCATTGTGTACACTGTAAAATTGATTTGTTTTATGTTCCTTGGAAAATCTTTGGTTTACAAGTTTTCTAGTTCACACTGTAGTATTCAGGGACAACCTGTAGAGGCATATTTGTTGTCAATAAATTAGTCTGTACTCTGCACCCTGTATCGAGGCATATTTGTTGTAAATAAATTAGTCTGTACTCTGCACCCTGTAGAGGCATATTTGTTGTAAATAAATTAGTCTGTACTCTGCACCCTGTAGAGGCATATTTGTTGTCAATAAATTAGTCTGTACTCTCCACCCTGTAGAGCCATATTTGTCAATAAATTAGTCCACCCTGTGTTTTATAATACATTTATCCAAACTCTAAATGTTGTATTTCAGTCACTTCCTGTTCCGCAGCTTTCAAAACATATTTCCGGTGCAGGGGGAGGGGGGATGCATCATCTA